GATTTAACTGTAATATTGATAATCAAAGATGCTAATAACTGTAAACACTAATTTCAATTTGTTAATGTAATCACTAGTCATAGGTAATTGATTAATTATTTAAATTGTCCAGCTTTAATCATTAAACATTTGTTAGAACCCATTTATCAAATGTTTAATTTAAAATATGTAATAAAACTTAAGTGAAAAATTACAGAAATGTTAATTAATTACAACACTTTTTTTTCCAATGTAATGGCTTACAACCCAACCTGCATGTGTACAAAAATAGAACATGTAGAACCTTTGAAACAAATGGATTAAAAAAAATTAATCAGTTTTATAAAGCTTTATTCAGAATCTCTTTGAACGTTTTATGGTCAATGACACAAAACAACCTTTTCTCAAATTTAAACTTATTATGAACAGGATTCTCTGCTACTAAGATGTTAATCTTCGTACAATCTTCATTCGACGGGAACTGAAGTTTAATGATGAACAATAGAATGATGGCAACAACAACAAACATTTAACCTGTGTGTATGATAGCAAACATTTAATTTTTGGCCATTTCAGAATGTATATATTCCAGCTTCAGTAAGCTATATTGAACAAGGTAAGAAATTTCTAAAGTTCCAACATTTTTTAAAGAGTAATTAAAATACAGAGTAAAACATTAAAGTCAATTAACCCTATCGGCGCGGATATCTTTTTTTGGCATCACAAGGTTTTAGTGAGTTACATTTAATATTTAATTAAACTAATTTCTTTTCATGGTATATCAACGAATATAGCATAAAAACAGCTAATAATCCACATTTTAATAGTGTATACATATTAAGTTCTTAATTGTACAAGGGAATATTAAAAAAAAATCTAAAAGTTCCTCTAGTGTTAGAATTGTGCAGTTGCCCTCTTCTCTAATTTACTTACCACCCTTCCAAAAAAGTATGAAATCTAATGTAAATTAGTTATATTATTGTCATTGCTCAGGCAATGCATAATTTTTATAGCCTACAATCTTATTTGGTTAAAGAGCCATGAAATAGACAACCAGACCTCTCTTTCAGAAATTGCCAATAGTTCTCTCTCTGCCGTTCAATACTATATTATTTATAACCAATAAAAAGCCAAGGTTTCAATCTATCAAATGACGTATTATATTACGTTGTTTTCTGTAAAGAGAATTGTCAATTTCACTTTCAGTTCAAGTTGCATTCCCACAGGAAATACCAACGAGCTTAGGTGAAATTTTAACGGCTCTTATCGCATAGTTAGAAAGCCAGAAAAAATGTAATAGTTATGGAACATTGTCTGCTTTTTGCACATTATTATTCTGTGTTCATTGGTGCATTATTTAATTAAATAAAAAAATATGTAGTGCAGTACTACCATTAGTATAAAAATTAGGGTTAAGTTATTTAAATATCTCTCAAGATTCAAAATCTATCCAGATCAAAAGATCTATTACCTACCCCTATGCATTCCAGGATCATGTATAAATACACATGTAATGCCAATTACACCTGTAAACATATGGGGGTGTCAAGAAGAACTGGTAAACAACTAACAAATCATCCAGATCCTGCAAATTGCACAAATAGTGAAAACCCCTTTTGATTATGAATTTCAAAGTCATCTCAGCTGAATCATCCAATATTGAACTTTTAATTAAGGAAAGTTTATCTATTACAAGTGAACTCCCAACTTTAAATAATAACACAACTTCACTACAATTAAGTATGTTTTGAATAACTTGTATAATATTGTTACACTATCCTATTCTTTCTTGTTTTTAATTGACTTTATTCTTTTATTCAATTACTCTTTATAGAATGTTGGAACTTTAGAAATTTTTTGTTATCTGATATTTTACCTTGTTCAATATAGCTTGCTGAAGATTGAATATGTACATTCCAAAACGTTCAAGAATTAAATGTTTGTGTCAAATGTTTGTTGTTGTTTTTGCTGTAATTCTCTTGTTCATCACACAGTCTTTATATTTGTTTATGATTGCATAAAAAAAAAGTTAAAACATTTTAATGGCTCAAAGCAAATTTCTTACTTTCAAAATGTAGATTCAAAAGTGCTTAAACTGCATAAAAAATAAATTAAATAGTCAATATTTAGCAATGTCCCTAGTAGGGAGGTTTGTAAGCTTTTGTTTACTAATTGCCTAAATGCTTGATATTTGAATGGATGATATCTCATCTTACTCAACCACACACACTATTATATTGTGATAAATCACCGTATTGTAGTGACCTAGGATTGTTTGTGTTCTACATCAAACTGACTGGTTACCACAACAACTAGAAACAATTATCTGATGGTTGAATTACCTGGTTGAGCCTGAGAAAAGTACCGGCAGTTGGAAGAACTAGGTTATCTCTTGTATCACGGGTGAGTATATGCTAGGTAGAAACAATAAAATTGTACCGATTATGTCATGAGCTGAACAGCTGAAGTACCAACAGTGAACAGTTTATGTCATTAACTGAACAGCAGAAGTACCAACAGTGAACAGTTTATGTCATTAACTAAACAGCAGAAGTACTAACAGTGAACAGTTTATGTCATTAACTAAACAGCAGAAGTACCAACAGTGAACATAAACTGTTCACTGTTGGTACTTCTGCTGAGCTAAGAAAAATGAAAGATGTATAAGTAATATACTAACTACAAATAACAAAAGTGTACAGACTAATTAATAAGAAATAAAACTGTACAGGTTATGTCATTATTACTGCCACAAAGCATAAGAAGGCAAAAAAAGAATTATACAGATGTATGAAAAATGTTTAATTTCATTACTCACTTTTACTACCTTAGATTGACAATTTAAAATTTATAATACACAAAAAACAAGTAAAATACTTAGATAAAAACATAAGACATTTTTAGACCTCATTATACAGTTAATAAGTAGAAAAACACATAACACCAGGTTTACAAGAATACACTGTACCAAATCACATCTATAAACCCACAAGACAAAAATCAAAGTTCAATAAAATAAATAACATAAGAGTAGTTGTATGGATGCTTGTCAACTGGTTGTATTATGTTGCTTTTGTTGTATTTTCACTACAAAAGAAAGTCCAATTATAAAACTACTACACATAAGGTACTAGAATAGGGTGTGAGAGAAAGACTGTGTTCACAGTTGAGGTTCTAGAGTAGGGTGTGAGAAAAAGACTGTGTTCACAGTTGAGGTACCAGAGTAGGGTGCGAGAGAATGACTGTGTTCACAATTGAGGTACCAGAGTAGGGTGCAATAGAATGACTGTGTTCACAGTTGAGGTACCAGAGTAGGGTGCGATAGAATGACTGTATTCACAATTGAGGTACCAGAGTAGGGTGCGAGAGAATGACTGTGTTCACAGTTGAGGTACCAGAGTAGGGTGTGAGAGAATGACTGTGTTCACAGTTGAGGTACCAGAGTAGGGTGTGAGAAAAAGACTGTGTTCACAGTTGAGGTACCAGAGTAGGATGCGAGAGAATGACTGTGTTCACAGTTGAGGTACTAGAGTAGGGTGTGAGAAAAAGAGTGTGTTCACAATTGAGGTACCAGAGTAGGGTGCGAGAGAATGACTGTGTTCACAGTTGAGGTACCAGAGTAGGGTGACACCCTACTGTAGTATCTAAACTGTGAAAACAGCCATTCTCACTCACCCTACTCTAGTACCTCAATTGTGAACACACTCTCACACCCTACTCTGGTACCTCAACTGTGAACACAGTCATTCTCTCACACCCTACTCTAGTACCTCAACTGTGAACACAGTCATTCTCTCACACCCTACTCTGGTATCTCAACTGTGAACACACTCTTTATCTCACACCCTACTCTAGTACCTCAACTGTGAACACACTCTTTTTCTCACACCCTACTCTAGTACCTCAACTGTGAACACAGTCATTCTCTCGAAAGAGTGACTCTGTTTACATCCGAGATACTAGAGTAGAATATGCTGAATGATAGTTCACATCTGTGGTGCTAGAGTAGGGTGGAAATAGTGACTTTATTCACAGTTGAGATACTAAATATCACCTGTCTTGAGTTGCACAACCAAAAGTGGCAATTTTCTTCAGTTAGATAACACCACTTTTGTAAGTAACAGTACAGATATATATATAAAAAAATATAAACTTTTAAAGGTACATGCATTTTTGTTGTAAAGTCCAAAAAAGTTGAAACCCAAATTGTCACAAAAAATTGAAATTATTCTGTAGACTTTAAAAAAAAAAAAGTTGTTAATATACTAATTTTAATATTAATCACATTACTTCTTAGATCGTGCTGCTTTACTCACAAGTTATGTCAGAATTATTTACTATTTCAGTTGTAACTTGAGAACTCTACAAAGCCTGTTAGATGCAGAGGTATGAAAGTACCTTTATGCTAGACTTTAGAGAATGGCCAGTCTCTTCTCGAACGGCAAAGGCTGTGGATGGTAAGGCACATTTCAGTTCCCTCCAGATCCCTTCCCACCTGAAACTATGGTGAATTTGAGGTGCCGATTCAAACTGGAAATAATGGTTGTATTGAAAACATTTGTAATGGCAAAGCACTAAAATAAAATCATGTCCTTTTACCTAGAGATTCAAACTTACTAGTCAAATCGTTGCCATATCCCTACCACAATGTATCTCTCATTCTAAGCTATAGTGTCTTCTAAACTTATGTCGACTTCATTCCAGACCTATTAAAACTTTTTTTTAAACAATACCTTTAACCCACTTATTACTATCTGTCAATATTTCTTTATACGTTGCCTCAAATGTTTTAGCTGTGTAACATTAGTGGGAAATACCTAAACTATCTATCATTTACAGACTATGCACAAAAGTAAACTTCAAACATATATAATTTTTTAGAGAAGTACTAACTCGGTAAAAGAACAAACACAGAACTATTTAAGGTCAACAGAGAAGGAAAGGAAAACAAACAACCATAGATGACAGTGCAGCATGGATACTTTATAACTAACCATACAAGGAACATAACCGAGAAAAGTTAAAACTGTAAGTAGGAGAGGGATGATAGGTAGTGTACTAAACTAATGTTTAAGCCCTATTACTTGTTTCTAAATATACAATTTGAATAAAATATACAGTGTGTAACTCTGTATATTAAACTTTCTTTCAAAAAACACTATTCTAAAAAAACAAAACAAACTCCAAGCCATGCTGGACACTAACATTCATAATGTATTTACAAAGTTGTTTTTTCTATTATGAGTTACAGCTTTTACAGTAAGGGTTAAATAATTTTAATTTTTTCACACATATAATTTTATCAGAGAGAGTTAATATTTGGGTATTACTTATACTGTATGTTCAGACATTTTTGATGTAACAATATTGTCACTTTTGACCTTACTTTGGAAACTTATCAATGCCAAGATTATTCCTATTTGTCTCATTAATATACTATTGTTTGCATATTGGCTTAAATGAAAGTGCAGAGGAAAATCCAAAAGATTGTTACTTTAGCTATACAAATGTACAGCTAACTGTCGTAAACTTTTACTAGAATATGGCATTCTGAGATTGAAAAATTATCTAATAGAAGGGAAAAGTAGATAAAACGTTTTTATTAACCTGTATTTTTCTTCAAAACGTAATACAATTTGAAAACATAACAATGAAGAAGCATTAAAGTCATTTTTAGCTTTAACATGATTTGTGGGATTTTTAGAAAAAATGACATAACATCTTTTTCAGATTACTATATTACCATGCACACAACTGTGAAAACAAATTGGTCGTAAATCTAATTATAGATGGATGGGTAATGTAAACAATACACAGTGACAAGAGATGAGGTGGCTAGATTTTTTTGTGATCTTCCTGATAACATGCACAGATTGATTATAAATTATATTTCTAATCATTTTGCTGTTTTTTAGCAATCATATCTTTACTGTTACAAACATACTTATTTTAGTAGTAAGACTGTAAATCACCGCTCGCCTCACTGAGATATCAAGTGTTGTCACAACAGATACCGTAATTCCATCACCTAAAGGAATTAGCTCCTAGATTTAAATTAGTTTAACAAACCTTCAAAAGAATGAACCTAAGGTACTACTTGTATGAAGCACAGTGAGGTTATGAAATTCAAGTATTCAACTACTAAAGTTCAGTGAAAACAGTTTGGACAAAATCCCATGATAAACGAGCCTACAATGCTACCACAATAACTCTTCCGTCAAGATGTTTCTATGGTATTCTATATATGCCAGAATGAAATACAGACATTATATATAAATTTAAAACTTTGAGAAATCACTAATTAAATGCTTTACTCATTCTACTTTATAAAAATAACCAACTGTTTTTGAAAAACAAGAAAATAGTTTGAAGTATTTAAAACTTATTGATTTTCAAAAAGAAAGACAAAACATCATGGCATATGTAAACAGTGTTTCCAGCTATGATATACCTGAATCATTGTTACTTAACTTACTAGGACAACAGTGGTAAATAACATACTTACTGCCACTTCTAACAACGTTCCTCGATCTATCTGGCGAAACCCACTCCATGGGAAGTCTGCGGCATGCTGAAATACTGCACCAGTAATCCTAACAATTGCACAGATATTAATGCACAACAATTATGAAAGGGTGATTTAAATGCTCCAAACTTTGCACTCAAGTCTCAAAGAAATTACATTAACTATAACCCTTTTCAGTAAAATTTAATTCAGCTACAACCTTTTGTAAAGTAATTTTCTGTAAGTATACCTATAATCAATTGATTAGTACAGTGTTCCTCAAAACCTGGTACATTATATTATAGTGTAAAATGAGCTCTTTTTAATGATTGTATACATGTATGTGTAGTAAATACATGTGGTTTGTGAACCTAAAAGCAAACTACAGATGGTGGTTGGCAAAATATATTACGTGTTTCTACTGGATTGAACAAAAGGACTTTGAATTATTAGTTTTGATAGGGCAAGTAAATGTACTTATTGTCTAGACATAAATGTACAGGCTGTGGTTTATTCTATTCAATAAAGAGGCTGCAAAAGGTGAGATTTTTCATTACTCAGAAAACATGTGACAAGAAAACTGGAGATGAAGTTTTTTTTTAAAGGTTTCTTTTGAAATAAAGGAATTAAAACTTAGATAAAATAAAACTTCAAAATATAATGTTAATTTCCTTGATATACACTGATAGTAAAGTTGTTTGATTAAATTTCGAATGTACTTAGTGACTTGTGCAGAAAGGGGTATCCACTGTGAATGAGTTAAATGTGTGGTAATCCCATTTCTGTATTTTCTAGGCTCAGAATCAAACTGAAGACCTTTCATATGCTAAGCAAGTACTCTAAAAACTGAGCCACCAGGTTAATCCAATATCACTTGCTATTAAAACACTTTTTAACAACAACAAACTACCACTCTCCACCTCTCACAAAAAAGACCAGTCCTCAGGACTTATCTAAGGTTCATGAGATGACCACAAGTCGGACGCCAATTTTTCTTTAGTAGTCTGTTTTTATTTCCTTAGATCAAATTGAAACATGGGACCTATTGCACATCATATGATTGCTCTACCAACTGAGCTAAAGGGTAAACCCATTAGCACATGTTAGAAAGGTAGTTTTTAGCAACTGAAACTACCACAAGTGTACACTAAGAAAACCAAGTGAATTTGTTTATTTTAATGATTAGTTATAGTTTCTTATATAAAACTGTATGAGCTTAGGGCCAACAGTTGTAAGAAGTCACTAGATTTTCACTGTATTAATACTGTAAAAAATAAAACTCAGTAATCAGATTCACATACAAAAAAGGCATGTAGATAAGGAGTGGAGCAGACAGTAGAAATAAAAATATTATTTCATTATACCAATTCAGAGAAAACTGTTTTGATTACATGAACGTAAAGAAGCTTTTGGTTTGTTGGAAATATAACACAACTTTGTTTTTTTAAAGTGGTTGTTCTAAACGTGATCGTTAGACTAAGAAATGTCTAGTTCTTAACCAATTTATGAAAGTTGTCCGACGTATCTACAAACATAATATAAAGGACAGGCTCACCTAGGATTCCCCCTAAAGATACAAGGTTTTGTTAGAAATATAACAAAACTTTGTTTTTTTAAAGTGGTTGTTCTAAACGTGATCGTTAGACTAAGAAATGTCTAGTTCTTAACCAATTTATGAAAGTTGTCCGACGTATCTACAAACATAATATAAAGG